AAGTCGTCATATTCCCGTTTTATAGGCCAGAAATAGAGGCTCTGAGAAGTTTACTCAGGTACCTAGGGTGACTCTCTAGGATATTGTGAGGACATTATATATGAAAGAAGTACCCGGTACAAGGTTGTATATGCAAAGTGCTAAGTGAGAAGTACAGCAGGGAAGCCTTCGCTGAGGACATAGAAGTCTTCAAGTGTCTATGAAGACAAGAAGGGTAGTTTCCAAACTCTACTTTTATAACACGTTTCTGCTTATGTGCTGGAGACGCTATACGTGCCTAATGGCTGTCTTCCCCCAATTCCCAGAAAATCTCTTCTCAAGAGTTTTTTCTTCCATGTTTTCCTTTGTGTTGAACTCTATATGAAGTATAAGAACTCCATCTCTGGCGTTCAAGACCCAAGTTCAAATCCAGGGTCTATCGTTTGTTAGCTTTGTGACTTTACTGAAAGGGTAAGCCCTTTATCTACCTTATTTCTCTCATGTGTAAATTGAGGGTAAGTTAATTGTCTGTGTGGTGACTTCCCTAGAAATACTTATTATCCGTGTGATGTATGCAGGGCTTGAAACTGGTTCCTTCTGGTTAGAACCCCTGCTGAGAATTTGCATTTCTAACAAGTTCCCAGGCAATATTAATGCTGCTTGTTAAGGACCAATTCTGAGAACACTAGTAGAGCATAGCCACTGCCCTTGAGTTGATTCCGACTCACAGCGACCCTGTAGGACAGAGTAGAACTGCCCCATAAGGTTTCCAGGGCTGTAAATCTTTGCAGAAGCAGACTGCCACATCTTTCTTCCACAGAGCGGCTGATGAGTTTGAACTGTTGACCTCTTGGTTCGCAGCCGAGCGCTTAACCGCTGTGCCACCAGGGCTCCTCAATAGGAGAACAATGATTCTCAAAATTTATTATACATATGAATCACCTGGGGATCTTGTTAAAATGTAGATTCTGATTCAGTGTATTTGGGGTAGAAAGACAAATTCTCAGCAGGGGCTCAAACCAGAACAAACTGGGTTGAAGCCCTGGATGTATGGCATTGTAAGATAAATCCAGTCTAAGAGTGGTTGGCTGGTATTGGAAGTTCCTAGTCAGGAATCCACAGTGCAGAAGGATTGCTTATGTACTTCAAATGCTATTGAAATACACAACAGAGGGCTTGCTATTAGTATAAGGAATGCTATGTATAATTTTTTACTGGTGAAATAAATGACATTCAAAATCTGTAGTTGTTGGAAGGGTGTCCAGGCCCTGCCACCAGTGACTTTGAGGCAGAACTGGAGGCTAGTGCCCATCAGGTTTAGTCCAGCTTCTGTGGACCATTGGTGGGTGGCTCTGCCATCAGACTGGCCCTGTGCCCTCCTCCACCTGAACGTTTCTTGAGAAGTGCTTATCAGAGGCCTGAGGACAGAGCATACGAGAAGCACTTATGTGACTCCTTTTTGGTGTCTTTAGTAATGGTCACATGTTTGGTAGAATTTAGCCTAAGGTTTGCTTTTGCCTAACATGCCTCTTGGTAGTAAGGCTATGTGAAAGGGGCTATAGGCACCAGCTACTTAATTTGTGGGGTACTAGAAAAGGAGATCATGTTTGGTAAAGTAGAGAATTAGCAAAAATGAGGGAAACCCTCAATGAGATGGATTGACACAATAGTTGCAACAATGGACTCAAACATACCAACGATCATGAAGGCACAGGACCAGGCAACGTTTCATTCTGTTATACGTACAGTCACCATGAGTCAGAGCTGACTTGATGGCCAGTAACAACATTGGCCTAGGAAGTCACCTCTCCCAAACAGGTTTGTTGTTGTCAGGTGTTGTCGAGTCAGCTCCGACTCACAGCGTTGTCTTATATAACAGGGTGAAACATTATGGGGTCCTGTGCCATCTTCACAATCCTTGCTATGTGTGAGCCCGTTGTTGCAGCCAGTGTCACTCCATCTTGTTGAGGGTCTTCCACTTTTTCACTGATCTACTTCACCAAGCATGATTTCTTCTCCAGCGATTGGTCGCTCCTGATGACATGTTCAGAGTAAGCGAGACAAAGTCTCGTCACGCTCGCTTCTAAGGAGCATTCTGGCTGTACTTCCTCCAAGACAAATTTGTTTGTTCTTCTGGCAGTCCATGGCATATTCAATATTCTTCTCCAAAATTACAATTCAAATACATCAATTCTTCTTCAGTCTTCCTTCTTCATTGTCCAGCTTTCGCATGCATATGAGACGATTTAAAACACCATGGCTGGGGTCCAAAATCCAAACCCATTGCCATCGAGTCGATTCCGACTCGTAGCAACCCTGTAGATCCAAGTAAAACTGCCCCACAGGATCTCCAAGGAGCAGCTGGTGGATTCGAACTGCCGACCTTTTGGTTAGCAGCTAAACGCTTAACCACTGCACCACCAGGGCTCCTGGCTTGGGTCAGGCACACCTTAATCCTCAAAGTGATGTCCTTGCTTTTTAACAATTTAAAGAGGTCTTTTGCAGGAATGGCTACATAATTTGTGGGGCCCTGTGCAAAATGAAAATGCAGGACTCCCTTGTTCAAAAATTGTTAAGAATTTCAAGACGGCAACAGCAGAGCCTTAAACCCAGTTTGAGACCTATCTGGGTATGGGGCCTGGTGTGACTGGGACACCGGCCCATGCAACCGGCCCTGCCCCAAAATCTGATAGCTGTTGAGTGACCAAATTGGCCTAGGTCACTGCACAGCCTTCGAGGCCCCCCTCCCAGGGGCATTGGAGGATTAAATGAGAAATGTGCACTATACACAAGGGCAATTAGTGTGAGCTAACTGTATCAGGGGTAGAATCTAATATGAAAGAGTATCTGCTTAGCAAAAATTATAGCATCGACAGATGAAATTTAAAATAACTGAACCAAACCACTAAACCTTTCCTGGTGTTCCTCCATGCTACGTGACACCTGTGTGTTCTGCTGCCTATGTGTTCTGCAACAGCACCAATTTGAGACCCAGAGAAGGGAGGGTGCATTCCAGGCTGGGGTAGGGTATGGGCAGAACGGCAGAGACAGGAAAGTGCACCATCTGCTTGGAGTCTGGTGGGGAAAATGAAGGCAAGCGGTTCCTGTATATTTTTGTCCTGGCCCCTTGAGATCTGAGGAAGCATCATCACTGCAGTGTCCAGAACAGTAACTACTAGCCACATGTGGCTGGTGTGGGTTGAGATGAGCTGTCAATATATACACTGGATTTCAAAGACTGGGTATGAAAAAAAAAAGCAAAATGTATTAACTTTTTTATATTGATTACATGTTGAAATTATGATTTGAATATTTTAACAAATATCTTAAAATCAGTTTCACCTGTTCTTTTTACTTTTTTGTGAAGGTGGCTACTAGAAAATTTAAATTATGTGTGTGCCTTGCATTATAGTCCAGTTGACATACTGCTCTAGACTAGGACAATGCGCAGGCATAACTACACCCACTGGCACTCACACCGACATACATGTGCACATTCAGCGTAATCAGAGATTCTCAGAGACCCCTAGAGCCCCTACCATAGTTCCATAGTGCCTAGGTTAAGCCCTGAAGTAGAGGATCAAGCTGGGGGAGGGTAGGTGGGGAGGTAGGCGCATGGAGCTCCAGGCTAATAGTGTGTTGAATTTGCTCTTTGAGCGCAAGTGAGCTGTTGAATGCTTTCTAGCAGTGGAGTGATACGTGCAGGGTGTTTTTTGTTTTGTTTTTACAAGATTTGTTGGGGGGAGGAGGTGGAACAAGCAAGAAATAAATACAGGACAAGAAATCAGGAAAGTAGTTAGGAGACTATTGCCATCTTCTGAAATCAAGTTCAGCTAAACAAATGTAGAGTGATTAAATGCTTTCTCACAAGGCTGAGGAAGGACACACAAATGTATCCTTCTTCCTTTGCTGAGACCAAATAATTCAGGTGAATATCTGGCTTGTGGCATATATGCACCTTCTGCAGACGCATAATTCAAACCTAGGTTCAAGCTCAGCCCTCACTGCCGGCAGGCTGGCTCCAGATGTTTCTTCTCTTTATCAGGTGCTTTCCGCTCTTGGAAAACACACTTCCCTGGCAGCATTCCTGAAGGAGAAGGGCGAGGTAGGATTTGACAGGTATCAGCCGCTGGAGCCTTCTGGACAAAAGAAATCTGTAAACCTCATTTGAATACCAGCTTTTTGTGAAAATAATCAGGAAATTGGGGGGGGGGGGGTTTGGGAAAATCTCCTGGAACGTGAATGCTTGGTGTAAAAGAAAACCCCTACTGCTCCTCAGGCCATCGTAAAACAGGGCCAGTGGCTTAAAAAGTACAGAATTATGCACGTGGCATGAAGCATTTTCAGGCAGAATAATGTGTCTATGCAGCCTGGAAAAAGCTAATCAGGAGAGTGTCTGTAGCAGAGTGAGACCTTTCAGCCATATTTAGTTGATGTCGAGATAGAGTATTGGGTGTCCTCCAGTCAATTTTGACTCATAGCGACCCGAGGTGACAGAATAGAACTACCCCATTGGGTTTTCTTGGCTGTAATCTTTGTGGGAGCAGATCACCAGGTCTTTCTCCCACAGAGCCACTGGGTGAGTTCGAACCACCAACCTTGCGGTTAGCAGCCAAGTACTTAACCTTTTGTGCCACCAGAGCTCCTCCGTTGAGATAGGGTGGTGGTAAAGAAATTCCAGCTGTTGTTGTTCCTTTTGAGAATAGCGGCTGTGTTTAGAGGATCGACAGTTTTCTTTTTGTTTTAGTTTGAAAGCCAGATATTTGCAGGACTGAAGGGAGTTCTCATTTCTTTCCCCTTGAACCACCACAAAGAAAGCCTGAATAATTGCTGATTTTTAATTGCAAACATTATTCTGAGAACAACCAGCTGACCTTGTTTACAGAGCAGAAGCAGTGTTAAAAGGCTGATGTATCATTTGATCCACTTCTAGAGATTTGTTGTTTTAATCTGAAGCATATCAGGTTTCTGGTTCAATAGGCTTTCTTTTTTATTACAACTCATGTGTGTTGTTTTCACAGGACGAACGTTCCCGACACATCCGTACTTCTCGGCCCAGCTGGGAGCAGGGCAGCTCTCACTGTACAACATTCTGAAGGCCTACTCGCTTCTAGACCAGGAAGTGGGGTATTGCCAAGGTCTCAGCTTCATCGCAGGCATTTTGCTGCTTCATATGAGTGAGGAGGAGGCCTTTAAAATGCTCAAGTTTCTCATGTTTGACATGGGACTGCGGAAACAGTATCGGCCAGACATGATTATTTTACAGGTATAGAGCATTCCTATATCTTTGATAAAGACAAATGGTAAAAATGTCCATTATCCCTTCCTGGGTCTATCTAAGGAGCTTTTTCACCATCAGTTAACATTGTAATAGCTGCCACTGCTGATAACTTATTCTGTGCCAGGCATTATGCCAAGTGTTCCCTATGCACTTACCTCCACAGGAAGACACTATTAACTGGCTCAATTTAGAGATGGGAAAACTAAGGCTCAGAGAGGTTATGTCACTTAATCAGGTCATACAGCTAGCAAGAGGCAGAGCTGGGATTAAAACCCAGGACTGTCTTACTCCAGAGCCCTCCCTCGTACTCTCTAGGTCAAACACTGTCTCCCAAGGAACGCTAATTAAACAACGCAGTAAAGCATCTTCCAGTACCAGTACCAGTACCAGTTGCCAGCAAATCAAGGCCAACTCATGGCAACCCCATGAGTATCAGAACTATACTTCACAGGGTTTTCAGTGGCTGATTTTTCAGAAGTAGATTGCCAGGCCTTTCTTCCAAGATTCCTCTGGGTGGACTTGAACATCCAGCCTTTCAGTTAGCAGCTGAGCATGTTAACCATTTGCACCACTCAGGGACTCCCAAACTATCTTCAAGTGATCTAATTCCTACTTCAGAGTCTTTACACGTGCTACTTTCTCTGTCAGTGATACCCTCATTCTTCCACATCTCCCCACTGCCCCACTTCACTTTGACTATCTTCTTGTCATCCAGGGCTCAGCTCAAATACACATGCTAGGAGAAGCCCTTTTTAACCACCCTGATGTCATGTTTCCCCACTTTTCCCCTCTGGGCCCACTCTATGGGATTACCCTGTTTCATTTCTTTTGCCTCACACACTCTCTGTCTGAAATTATCTTTTTTTGTTTCCTTATTCATTTACCAGGAGCCCTGGTGGCACAGTGGTTAAGTACTTGGCTGCTAACCGAAAGGTTGGTGGTTCAAACCCACCAGCCGCTCCATGGGAGAAAGATGTGGCAATCTGCTTCTGTAAAGATTTACAGCCCTGGAAACCCTATGGGGCTGTTTTACTCTGTTCTGTAGGGTCACTATGAGTCAAAATTGACATGATGGCAATGGCAATTTGTTTACCTGCTTATGTTTATGACTTTCCATGGCTTATAACCTTCATGAGAGGAGAAGAAGCTTACTCATCTCAGAATTATGTCCCTAGTTCCTAGAACAGTTGTTATTGTTAGGTGCCGTCCAGTCAGTTCCAACTCATAGCAACTCTATGTACAACATAACAAAACATTGCCTGGTCCTGTGCCGTCCTCACAATTGTTTGTATGCTTGAGTCCATTGTTGCAGCCACTGTGTCAATCCATCTCATTGAGGGTCTTCTGCTTTTTCACTGACCCTCTGTTGTACCAAGCCTGATGTCCTTCTCCAGAGACTGGTCTCCCCTGATAACATGTCCAAAGTACATGAGATGAAGTCTCGCCATCCTCACTTCTAAGGAGCATTCTGGCTGTACTTCTTCCAAGACAGATTTGTTTGTTCCTCTCGCAGTCAATGGTATATTCAATATTCTTCACCAATTCCACTGCTATTCATAAGGTTTTCACTCTCCAATTTTTTTAGAAGTAGATCCCCAGGTCCTTCTTCCTAGTCTGTCTTAGTCTGGAAGCTCCACTGAAACCTGTCTACCATGGGTGACCCTGGTGGTATTTGAAATACCGGTAGCATAGCTTCCAGCATCACAGCACCATGCAAGCCACCACGGTATGACAAACTGACATACGAGTAGAACAGTGCCTGGGATCAAGTAGGCACCCAATCAATATTTGTTCATTGAACGAGTCACAGGTGGCAGGTCACATCAAAAGATAAGCTAACAAAGAAATGTGTTGCAAGTGCCTAGGGCTCCTACTACTGCCTTTCAGAGGTGGAGAGAAAGAACTCTGTATCCTGTTTCCAGAATGCTTTTAAATGTTGCTTAAAATGTTGGGGCATCTGTTTGTGTATTCATTTACCAAGAAGATACTATGATTTCAGAGTTTAGAAAGTGTCCTTGGAAAGAATATATTAGAGCCAAGGACTTTTTCAGAGCACCAAAATCCTTTCCCCTTGAGCTGTGAATGTGAACCACATGAAAAAGAATTTCCTAAAAGTAAGCCATTTCATTCACCAAAAGATTTTGACCCAAATAACACTTTCCTACTTTTTCCTCATTGGCTTTAATGTAGGGGCACCTGTCATGTGATAGAGAAGTGGCATGTTTGAGTTTTATCTGATTTAGAATCATAACACAAGACTCTTTAGGGATGATGACCTTGTTGATTAGACTCTTTGATATGGAAGAGCCACAGCTGGCACTTAAGAGGGTTGGGGTGTCTGAGCCTTTGAAAACTGTCTCTTTTTCTTCCAGTTTGAAAAGTATATATCCAACTTGTAGTATCTCAGTAGGGTCTTGCCTCTTTCTGGGTTACTGTGTGTTTGGACTGAGGCCAGGGGCTGCTCAAAGCTGGGCTGGCCCTAGGATCTCTGGCAGCCCTGGGACTCATCATGAGCTGCTGGGAACTGGAGTGAGTTTCCTGCCAGAACATTATCACTCCCTGAAGGGGGAGCCCTTTAAGGTGAAATTCAACTTTAGTTGGAAAAAATCATTTTCTTTATCCCGGCATAAGCACTTGTCTTCTTATTTTAACTTGCCCAGTATCTATATATTCCATATGTTATAAAACTAAAGTCACACTTGTCCTACCTACCGAGTAATTTGGGGTAGGAAGTGGGGCCCAGAAGGAATTTAGTAAGTGTCCGTGTGCAGTGAATCCTACAGAATCATAATATGCCCTCAGTTCCCTCTTTGCAAAGAGGCTGGCTATTTATTTCTAATTCCCCTGGGTTTGAGTTTTGCTAAGAATGTGTATTTGTTAGAGAATTTATGAACTATTTCCAGAAGGCAGATGTTTAGGTTCTCTTAGCCAGGGAACAATAAAAGGAGAGGAAGTAGTGTAGGAGGAAGAGAGCCAACATTAGTGTTGTAGAGCCTGCACCTAGCACAGTGCCTCACGTACAGAGACACCCAGCAAACGCGTGCTGGATGAGGTCGTAGCAGAGATCAGTGGATATTGCAAGCCAAAAAGAATTTTCAACGTTCTGAAATTCTTCTCTTAAAAATTAACAGTATTCTTGGAAGTGTTCCTGTGAGTAGTGTAAATAACTTTATACCAATGGCAGATACCAAATTGTAAACATAATTGGGCATATATTCCTGCAGATCCAGATGTACCAACTCTCGAGGCTGCTTCACGATTACCATAGAGACCTCTACGATCACCTAGAAGAACATGAGATTGGCCCTAGCCTCTATGCCGCCCCCTGGTTTCTTACCATGTTTGCCTCCCAGTTTCCGCTGGGATTTGTAGCCAGAGTCTTTGGTAAGTCTTTGTAAATCTGTTTGCCAGAACCAGTAAATGAGAAAACATTTATTATTGCTCCATAGTGATTCTTCTTATGTTTGTATCTTTTACAAGAACAAGGTATTGTTTGACATTCTAAGTTCAGTTAGGGCTGGGTTTTGTGTATTTCAAGACCTGTTTCATTTCTGATAATCACTGGGCTTTCCTAGATGCCTTCAATCTTACAGGATTTGGATCAGATTCCATTAAAACAAGGCTCTCCCTAGAGCAGACATTTTAAGACTTGGCCAAAGAGCCCAGGCATATATTCTAGGCATATAACTTCATGAGTCATGTTCTTCAACATCTCTGGCTTGTGACTCTGTTGACTGTTAAAAAAATCAAACTGGATGCCATTGAGTTGAATTGGACTCATGGCAACCCCATGTGTGCAGAGTAGAACTGTATTCCATAGTTTTTTCAAGGCTGTAGCTTTTCAGAAACAGATTGCCAGGCCATTCTTCAGGGCACCTCTGGTGGGTTCAGAACACCAACCTTTCAGCTGGTAGTCAAGCACTTAACTGTTTGCACCACTGAGGGACCCCCTGTTGACTGATAGCTCCTTAAAACTGCCTACCACCAATGGTTTCTGAGCTACTGTTCTTTCTTGGAACCCTGGTGGTGCAGTGTTTAAGGGTTCAGCTACTAACCAAAAGGTTGGCAGTTTGAATCCACCAGCCGCTCCTTGGAAACCTATGGGGCAGTTTTACTCCGTCTTGTAGGGTTGCCATGTGTCAGAATCGACTCAGTGGCAACAGGTTTGGTGTTTGGTTTGGTTCTTTCTAGATTCCCTTCTCATCTCCTCCTCCCTTTTCTCCCTTTCTCTCCCCTGGACTCTTCATTCTCTCTGTAGTCACTCTCTTGAAGACCCCATGTCAGGACTTCAAGTGACTTCTCTGTTGATGACTCACCCTCCCATCTTCAGCCTTGACATCTCACACGTGCTGCCAGCCTCATCTTTATAGATGTCACAGACCAATTCTACTTCCTTGCCCCTACTATAACCTCAGATTGTTCACATCTAAAACCATCTTCCATTTTCTTAGTTTGCTTTTAGAGAAGATTCTCTCAGTCAGTTAAATAGGCATTCCCATGCAAAGTCTCATAACTGTCTTAAGATGGCAGGGATAGGGCCATTCTCTTGGATAGCAGGAACCAAGTGAGCACGGTCATTTCTTGCACAGCTCATTTTCTCTATTTCAGAATGAAAGTAATATTTTTGATAATTCAGATTCTTTTTTATTTTTTACTGTGTGCCTTAGGATTCTTTAGAGAAATAGAACTAGTAAGATATATCTCTCTGTACACATACACACACACACAGAGAGGGAAAGAGGTGATTTATTTTAAGGAACTGGCTCACATGATTATGGGGGCTAGCAAGTCTAAGATCTGTAGGTCAGGCATCAGAAAGAGTGAAGAGTTCTGGCAACACATCTCTTTATAATTTGGTAGCAGAATGCACCCTAGAAAAAACTCCCTTTTTGCTCTTAAGGCCTTCAGCTGATTGGTTGAGGCCCACTCACATTACTGAGGGTAATGTGTTTTACTTAAGGCCAACTGATTTAATCACATGTAACTACTTCATAAGGAGCCCTGGTGGCACAGTGGTTAAGTGCTCGGCTGCTAACCGAAAGGTCAGCGGTTTGAATCCACCGGCCGCTCCGCAGGAGAAAGATTTTGGCAGTCTGCTTCTGCGAAGATTTATAGCTTTGGAAACCCTATGGGGGCAGTTCTCTGTGTATAGGGTCGCTGTAAGTTGGAATCGATTGGACAGCAACAGGTTTTTAACTCCTTTATAATAGCAACTAGACTAGTGTTTAACCGAACAACTGGACACCATAGCCTAGCCAGGTGGACACAACATTAACCATCACACCCTGGAGGAGGAGGTTACTAAAGAATTGATAATCACACATGAAGTCTTTTAAATGTCATTTATGATCAGTCACTTGGTAGCTTAAAAATCTGTAATCTTGTATTTTTTAAGACTTGTTTTTATAATTAGAGAACATCTTAATGGGGCTATTCAAAAGCATTGAGCGTGGTAGTAATTTAGACATACTTTGAGTAGACATCTTATATATCCAAATTCTAGAAATCTTAGATTAGAAACCAATTTAAAAAAAAAAAAGCTTGCTTTTTAACGTAAATAGGCATTGAGTTTTCTTCTCTCCTCCCTTGCCCCCAAAGTGCCCCCAAAGTACTAGATTATTATTATTATTCATTTCTATCCACAAAAGTGTTTGAAGAATTTTCCATTGGGCTTTACTAGAAGAATCCATGTTCTTCAAATATTGACTGCTCCCTTTGGAAAAAAAACTTCAACAAATTGATTTTTACTTCTGTTCCTGAAAAAAACAAATCATAAAAATAAAATGATTTTCTCAAACAAATCGGTAGTGAGATTTCATGTAGTTTCATAATAAAAAGGAAAAAAAACGATAACAGCCTCAAAGTTGTGTGTCTAGTTTGCTAACAAAAGACTCACAGCAACTGTAAAGTTCTCTAGCTATAGACTTCAGCCTTTTTTGCCCATAACTTTCGTGTATTTGTCTTTTCTTACACTGGAAATTAAAAGAAAATCATTAGTCTACCTTAATTATAAAGAGCTCTGGTGGCGCAATGGTTAAATGCTCTACCGCTAAGTGAAAGGTTGGTGGTTCCAATCCGTAGAGCAGCTCTGTGGAGCCCTGATGGTGTAGTGGTTAAGAGCTTGGCTGCTTACCAAAAGGTCAGCAGTTCAAATCCACCAGCTGCTCCTTGCAAACCCTATGGGGCAGTTCTACTCTGACCTCTAGAGTTTCTATGAGTCAGAATCGACGATGGATTTTTTTTTTTTTTAAGGAGCCCTGGTGGTACAGTGGTTGAGTGAGTGCTCAGCTGCTAACCAGAAGGTTGGTAGTTCAAACCCACCCAGCAGCTCCATGGGAGAAAGACCTGGCACTCTGCTCCCATAAAGATAACAGCCTAGAAAACTCTATGGTATGGTTCTGCTCTGTCACATGGACTCAGTATGAGTCAGAAATCTACTGGATGGCACACAACAATAATAAGGCCATAAAGCTCTAGGAAAGAAATCTTTCCTTAGACTGTATAAGTGGGTAAGAGGCATTTAAAAAATACATATTCTGCTTTGGAAATAACAACGCTTTATGTTTCAGAAAAGGAGCCCTGATGGGGCAGTAGTTAAGTGCCCAGCTGCTAACCAAAAGGTCGGCTGTTCGAACCCACCAGCCAATCCACGGGAGAAACATGTGGCAGCCTGTTTCCATAGATTACAGCCTCAGAAACCCTATGTTTCTGCTCTGTCCTATAGGGTCGCTATAAGTCAGAATAGACTCGACAGCAGTGGTTTTTTTAATTTTATGTTGCAGAATAACTCGGAGTTCTATGAAGTTATTATAACGACTTTGTCAATAAAAACTGAAGCCAGTAAAAAGTAGGATATTTTTCTCTATACAGTCATGCACCACATAATGTCTGCTCGGGCAGCGTCCAACTGCATTTATGTCCATGGTCTTTGTGTCTCTTGAGTGTTGTAGTGTTATCTCTGTTTAAGTTTCTTTCAAAAATATTACCATGAAATGCTTCATGGCTCCCAAACGCAGCAAAACCAGTGCTAGTGATAGCAGCAGCAAGAGGCAAAGGAAGTTATCAATTTGGAAATGAAACAAAAGGTTGTTAAACAACACGAAGGGGGAAAATCAGTGACTGCCATTGCTCTCAATTTAGGCATGTCGCAATCAACAATCACGATGATCCTCAAAAACAAAAAAATTCTCCGAGCTGTTAAAGGATCGGCTCCACTGAAAGCTACAAGACTAACGAAAATGCGAGAGGGACCTATATCAGATACAGAGAAATTGCCAACGACGGGGATTGAGGACCAAACACAAAAATAAATCCCTTTCAGCACATTGATGATCACCTGCTATGGCACAAAACTTGTTTGCAGGACGTCCAAATCACATAATGTCCTATTTCACAGAGCAGATTGTGGATGTTAAGCAACGCATGACTGTGTTATGTAGTCAGTGGTGGGTCTCAGAATTTCTTATATATTATGCATAGCGATGCCACTGTCTGTGTAATTCCTGAGTCCCACGGCCCCTGCTGTACTAAGTGGGTTCGTGCCCAGCTGGCTAAGGGGCTGGGGCTCAGATTATAGGCAGCAGTGTGTTGGGATGATACTTTACAAAAACTGCTTTTTTGCACAGTCTGTCCCACCTTTCAGTACTTAAAAACAAGCTGTCTTATTAGTAGGTGTCATAAAATAGATACTTTTTAAAAACCATTTCTGTATTTAGCATCGGTGACGTACAGAACCACTGTTTTTTCAGTTCCACGATGGTAGGTAGCTTTGTTTCAAAAGCTGCCATTCGTGCCCTGTGGTCTTTTTTGGCCTGAAGCCTGTTTCATTATAAGCCTTTAGGCCTGGATAAACCCTAAATACAGATGGACATTTGTTAACTGTTCACTATTTTATATGTAAGTAAAGTGTTTCTCGGCTTGCAGTCAGCATAGCTCATATATTAATAAGTCACCTTGAATTAGATATTTGCCACTTGGAGGACAGCTGCCAAGGATGTATATGCCTTAACCTTCACATGTAGTCACATCTTTCTGAACGGCAGGCCTCTGCCTGGGTGTTACATAAAGTGAAATGACCTGCTCCTGTATCTTTCCAGTTTGGGAGTAGATTCTTGCTCTCTTTTCCTTCTAATCATGTCTGTCTTTGGAGAACATCTGAGAAATAGGGCCTGGCTTGCTCCTGATGGAGGAGACAGCTGCAGTATTAGGCTCCTGAGGTTTTCTGTAGGATGTGCTGCCAAGTAGGCAAGAGAGGAGGTGGAGTATAAAAACCAAGGATTTGGCAAAAAAAAAAAAAAAAAACTCAGAAGCCACTTGTAATAGAGAGAAGGATTCAGAGATGCTTTAAGACTGAAATAGATTGGGAAAGCAATATTGTTTATATG